AATGTTTTCGATGCATGAAACATTAACACTAGTCCCGGAACAGCAACGAACCCGTGTGCCTCGAAAGAAAGTGGTAATGCTCACCTCGATGAGGAACTTGACGCTATACGGCAACCTGCTGTACTCCGGCAGGTTGTCCCAGCCGTTCAGCGGTTGCCCTGAGGCGTACGTGTGGACGCGGACGGGAGATAGAAGGTGGTCTTGCCGGGGGCGAGGCTCGGTGCAGAGGCGGAACGCAAAGAGCTCCTGGAATAGCCTTGCTCGCTCGCTCTTGTCCTGAGAGGGAGGGGGCGGGCGGATGGATGGCAAGAAGGGTGGGTACTTTTGTGACTAGTCTCAGCTTTCGTAGCAGCGCTTTTGCCTAATGTCAATACCACCAACACCCACCAACACCACTACTACCAACAACAACAGCGCTCGCACCTCCAACAGGTCGGAGACGTCGATGCGGTAGACAAGGCACCGCCCGAAGGCGACGTTCGGGGACATGTCTCCGACGCGCCCGAGCTTCTCGGGCATCCTCCTGTCAAACCCGCCGTCCAGCTCCCAAACGCTTCCATTGCGAAATATTTCTCCGAGAACGGAAAAGATGGACTCCAGATTGAAGAGAGTCTGGCGGGGGAAAGAGTGACAGACAGGGGGGGGGGGTTACGCCTACACGGCAATGAGGGGCGGTAGGGGGAGGGACTCCTCCAATAAATTTAATCGCCGTTGTTGATTTGACCTTGCATGATTTTCGCGATGAGAGGAAGAGAAGAGGACGGATGAGGATATTTTTCGGGCAAGGGTTAAAATCGCTTGGACACCGTGGCATCCGAACAGAAAATGTCCTAAGTCCCTGTGCGGGAACGGGTCCCCCCAGTCGTGCAGCAACAGGTCGCTGGGTAGTGCGGTTCTTGGGAGGAATCTGGAGCAGCTTTTTCGCTGGTGTCCGCCTAACCGATCCCATTCCTGCTCGAAACCCTCACACGTTTCTTGGTACCGCGGGCCAACATACATGTGTGCGACTCGCTTCATGTCGCCCTTGGCCAACTTTGCGTGGGTGCTACCATTGAGGAGCTCCTCGATCACTGCAGTGCCTCTCTCATCTTCCTTTAGACTGTTTCTTGTGGCCTTCTCAGCAGCGCCTCCGGCAGCGGACATGTTGGTTAAAAGAAGGGGAGGCCTCTAACCGGAGAATGCCGTGCAAGTCGCAACGAAATTTTCATCGAAAACAAAACAAAAGGACTCCGACTGCAAAGAGGTTTGACACATCACTCGTTGAAGAGACTCCTATCGAGCAAGATACGCGTTGTATGAGGAACTTGTCCTTGACAATGGGGTTCACATCCACGGCTACTACAAACGCCAGGGCCGTCGAGGACACGGCTCTGCCGCCAGACGAAGAAACGGTTGCCCCTCCGAGGACATACTCCAGGGCTCAAATAAACGTCTTCGACATTCGACACGACTAGTGAGGTAAAGTCATTGCCGCCGGAGTTTTCATCCGAGACCCTGTTCCCATCTTCATCCCACCTAGAACACGAACCTGACTTCAACAAACGTGCTCTCAACGAGGTCTCGTGGAGGTCTTGTCGGAAGATGTTTGTTAAGGTCTGGCTCGTTCTCAAGGTGGGATGATGACCGAAACAGGGTCTCGGGTCAAGACTTGGTAACAAATACTTTTCATCACTTGTTCTCGTCAAACATGGCTTGTTTGGTCCTGGAAGTATGTCCTCAGAGGGTAAACCGTTTCTTCGTTGGGCGGCTGCCTTCTACAATAATCCTATTTTCAAAGTACTAAAAGCGTGTTTTCGCAATCCCGTGTAGAATTGGTTGTTGTTCGTAAGCAATCCACACGCAAATTTGAGTTTCAAGACGTACACACTCTAGTCTGTGAAAAAGAGACAAAGTTTGGTGAGTTTTTTCCGCAGGGTGGAAAATTGAGAGAAAGCGTGGCGGCTGTAGGCGGGATATCCGTAATTTGACCAATTTTGGTTTTTCTCTACTATTTGTTTGATACACTTTGTTTGATCACATAACGTGGTAGTAAAAACGATGTTGTTGAGCGACCTCAACCGAGGACGTCTGATAAATGCTGCTGCTGTAGGTAAAATTGTGACCCGGCAGAGCACACGCCCCCCAGCGGAGTGTATCAAATGTTTTTCTCAATACTCTTCGAACCAAATCCTATTGGTTGTAAAATCATATTTGCAAGTACACCTCCGCACACCTGTCACAAAGGGTGTGGAAAAGCGTATTTGATATCGTGCTCACTGCTGTACTAGACTACTGCCGTGGCACATCAACTCTTCAACATATAGACTGTTGACATGCGCCATTAACATATTAGATTTGTTTTAGTGAGCGCCTCTTTTCAGTAGATCTGACATTCGCTGAAAAGAACACACCAAGCAATCCGGCACAGGCAGTACCATCAGGGAAATATTCTTGACTACACACCATTGATGATGCTCATCACGCAGACCTCATGGTATAACATTGATACCATAGTAAAGCGCAAACCCGATCCACTAACTTACACGTACCGAGGCTGATTCCTTGCGCTCCGGTTCGCCGTTCAGAAACGGAGGGTGCAACAGCCTGAACGCCAGCCACGTCCTGCCCCCATCGTTCGTCAGCTCAACCTTATTATCATTTACAGGAGACGGACACAAACGTGACGGCGACACATGAACTCCTGTATAAAACAAGCTTCCGAGCCTGATTTCACACGGACACCGGAATACTCCCGGTAGCACCACCGAGAGGCAGCAGCTACAGGCGATTACAACGTAATCATGTTACGGATTTCATATTTTCAAACCTCTCCGTCAACGTGGCGCCTCTTGAAGTTCACTTGGCCATGCCGTCCGCGGTCATCCTCGAACATCAGCGAGGCCAGGGATCCTCTTTTTTGACTCCGGCTGGTTCGACAAATCTAACGTTAGAGAGTAAGATACAACGGTTGTCACATTGGGTTTTCAAGTGAGTGTCAGCAAACAAACACAACGTAGAATTGATTCGAAGCAATGTGGGCTCGAAGACAACCGTGGTGGAAATGAGGAGAAGGACCCGGCAGTGCGTGAAAAAGGGCTGCTGTGGTAGATTGAAAACGGGTGACACCACGGGAGATACAAGAGGAGCTTGTGACCATCGTTGTTGGTTTGGGCTTGTGACCATGTGTTCGGGACAGAACGCTCTTAGCAAACGACATTGTTTGTGTAGTGCCGGTCGTCCAGGCTGACATTGCTCCGGAAGCACGACCGGACGGTAACAGACATCACCAAAGAGGCACACCAACTTGATCACCGCTTGTGAACACGTGTCGTCCATTCTTGCGGTGCGCTACCCACACGT